CACACACACACACACACACACACACACACACACACACACACACACACACACACACACACACACCGGGTGAGGCACGGATGATCAAGTTGTGTTTTTATGATGAATGAAGACAGACAGCTGTCCTTTACCTAAGAAGGGTTTTTTCTGTTTCCTGGCCCAGCTGATGGCCTGAATCTTCCCTTCAGTTCCTCTGACGCCAAAACCTCCTGGAACAAGGATGCCACTAAAATCCAAAGAAAATAATCTTAGACCAACTGAAAACAGCGAACAGCCAAGTGTTTCATGTAGGGTTACAGTCAGAAGTTTCCATACGTCACAAATGTTTTCATTTAAGTTCTTTTAGTGGATTATCAACAACATTTTAACACTGAATTTAACAAACAGAACCCAGTTCTGATGTGTGTCTTGTTTCAAACATCTGATCATCAACATTTTCTGGGCTCCTGAACCATTTCTACTCCTTCATTCTGAGGATCGTTCAGTTTTAACAAAACCTTCTCGTGTTGGCAAACAGTAACTACCAGCTACAGTCCATCATATCACAGGAAGTTAATAGGTCTGGCTTTTCAAGTTAAAACACTTTCTAGAACCCTAAGCGAACATTTGTAATATGAGCCTATATGTGAATTACCTGTGTGGATCAGAGAACAACTGAAAGAGAAGAATTTGCGTATATTTGTAAACTCCACAGATGAATGTGTTGTTTGTGTGCATAATGTGTTCAAACAGGACTTTGTGTTGCTTTGTAGAACTCACTCAGCACTGCAGAGTTTCTGCCAGGCCTCGTGGTACTTCACTGGTTCCTCCTGTAAAGTTCCTGGCTCCAAATTCGCTGAATCTATGTACTGATAAAAACAGACACAAAATACTTCAGTTTAAGAGCCGAGTCCAACTTTTTTACAGTTTCATTACAATCCATCCAGTCATTCACCAGATATTTTGCCAACAAACAGATAAATTAAGGCTCGCACAGTCACAGCAAAAACCAGAAACAACAGYGTAACATTAATGAGGAGGAGCTTCAGCCGTACCTTCACTTCCAGCTTGTGGCTGATGGCGAGAGCCGAGTGCTCCAGAGCCTTGATGACAGAAGCGTAGGAGTCAGAAAACTTTGTGTATTTCCCCACCAGAGCTATAGAACACTGCTCCAGCAGCCGGTCTGACCTGAGAGGACAACACTAGCGTTAGCATGCTACAGTTAGCATTTTCTGCCAGAACACTGAGAAACAAACAGCTGCTGAAGTTTATTTCAACTGAAACTGGACTGTAAAGTGCCGAGACGAGGCTGTGAGTGAGATTGATGTCATGGATAGTTTCAGACATTTCACCAATCATTTCTCAAAAACGCCACACTGTGTGCAGACTTAGCACTGTTGGATCCCAAAACTTCCACCAGGGGTTGTCTTTGCAACAACTAAGCGTCTGTTGCCATTTGAAGACAAATAATGCAACAGTTTCCAGTTTACAGGGTGAGCTTATCAGCCTGGCAGGACAGTAACCATGTTTCCATCAAGGCTTTTTGATGCGCATTTAGAAGTGTCGCATTAAAAATGTGACAAAAAGTCGGATGGAAACAGCAAAATTCGGGAAAAAAAATCCTCAATTCGCTAAAAAGTTTTTACGCTTGCTTGAGGTGGTTTTTGGATGATTCGCAAAGTAGTTAATGTGCAAAACAGGAGATGGAAACACGTTTGCCAAATAAATTCTGACGTAGCGCATATTTACCTCACGTGACGTTCAGCTGTTTTTGCGTTCCTGCCTCGTCCCAGATGTTAGCATAAACGCATGAAAACATGGCCCTGCGTAGTTGCACGTGCCTTTCTGCTGCATAGTTTAACATTGCGTTTATTTCCCTACGTCTCCTGGCAGCGTTAAACATAGCCTGTACTAGCTGAATAGATAGAATAATTACAACTTGCCCAATAGCAAGGCATTCACGAAAAAAATCGCTCCATTGTCCCGAGATGATTAGCCTCCGCTAGTTAGCAAGTTTCACTTCCTGTTTACTACCGCAAAGCTTGTCGCCGACGTCCGACATAATGACGTGTTGCTTAGCCTCGTCTGACGTAATCACGCGTTGCGTAGCCTCGTCCGACGTAATCACGCGTTGCGTAGCCTCGTCCGACATAATCACGAGTTGCGTAGCCTCGTCCGACGTAATCACGAGTTGCGTAGCCTCGTCCGACGTAATCACGAGTTGCGTAGCCTCGTCTGACGTAATCACGCATTGTGTAGCCTCGTTTATTTGCATCAGTCGAGAGGGAAACTAGATGGAAACAGTCTAGATTCAAATTTTTATTTAATATTTTGCGAATTTTGAAAAGTTCGATAAAAATTCACTGTACAACTGAAAGGAAACACGATTAGTGGGAGAGGATAAAGACTTCTGTAATGGAGGAATATGCAATCAAGGAAACAAAGGAAGGACCACAGGAAGCTAAAGATGAAGTGGAGATCATTTAAAACAACTGTTCATCTTGCTGCTATCGTGTTCTGAGGCAATACAACCTCCTTATAAATACATAAAACATCATAGGGCTTGGACAAAGAAGCTTTTCCACTAAATTTAATCAAAAACAAGCTTAGGACCTCTCTTTCACGCTCATGGCTCTTCAGCCTGATGTAAAGGATTTTCAAAGCTCTAAACATGAGTTTAGTTCTGTTAAATCCATTGTCATCAAATGAAACTATAAAGATGAATCGACAGAGTGAATGCTGACTCAGTTTAGCCTACATGTCACGGTCATTAATGACGTATTTCCGGTACAATTCTTGCCACGCTCCTCTCTTCCACTCCCTGCTTACTGCCTATGTTTTTAGCGTTAGCTGCTAGTACTAGTCAGTGAAAAAGTCACAAAAGTTAAAGCATCTGTGATCTACTGGTACAAAACATGAGTTCTGTTGTGTGTCGTTGTGTCCACTAACCAGCAGGTACGATCGAGTAGTTAGTTTTTATCCTTTCTCCTCTTGATGAGGAGGTGACAGCAGAGGATCATAGCATTACAGGGAAAACTTATCTTTAAAAGCTCACGCTTGTGTTTGTAATCAGCATTTCTAACCTGAGGATATTCAAGAGYCAGCATCAGAAATGAGAAGACGRAGGTTACAAAAGAGAAATGTACATTTATCCCCTTTTACTGCCAAGACGAGAGAGGAAAGACCGCCTCACAGCTAGCAGGAAGCTAACACAGCAGGTAGTACAAGTAGGTGTGTGTGCGTGTTTGTGTTATACAGAGTATGAAATGTTTTTAGGCAACTTTGTCATGAGTTTTATGCAAAAGTAAAACCTTGTTAGTGTATATTACAGCATAGACTAAAGCCAAGTGACGAGCCCCCCCTCCACCGAGTACCGAGAGCCGGAGAACCTCCGCCTGATAATCATTACGTTTTCAGTTCACTAACGTCAGGGAAAACGATCCAAACCAAACAAGTAGCMCATCAATTTAAAGCCCAGACTCTGCTCTTTCCAACAATATAAGTGTCACAGCTCTACGTGAAAAATTCACAGAACAAGCAGCCAAGGAATAGTGAAAAAGGCTAAATTCTSGAACCATAAACACAAACGTCTTTCCTTTGTTTTTATGGCTTTAATCCACTTTGGAGTGATTTATTTCCACTTGGCTGGACCTGTACATCTCCTGTGTTAATGTTGGTACATGTGATATGTAATTCTGTACTGTGGAGATCATTAAGAGTTGTTTTCGGGTGAATAAATCTTTTGCTAACACTGTGTTGACCGTGAACCAGAAGTGATGGGAGAGGCATCAAGTGCTGGACCGGATGTCTGTGGCATTTAGGCTATTAAAGGAACTTTGTTTAAATCCAGGATTAGGAACAAAATTACAATCTGATGGCACACCTGTCTGACATCTCCTTCCACTTGGTGAGCATAGTCCTGGACTTGGTCTCAATGGGCATGTTGAGCCTCCTGCTCAGGTAGCTCACCACGCCCTGGTCCTCCAGGAGTAACGGCACTCTGTAAATGGACGAGACGTCGTGCACACAGATGACCTGGAACGAGGAGGAGGGTTTAGTTAAAGTTTGGACTCGGACTCGTCGCCGGCTGGCGAAGGACGCACTCACCTGCTGAGGTTCTACGTGGCAGAACATTGAGATTTTCTCTTTCACAGAATTCTCCAGAGCGGTGGAACAGCGGCACATAATCTGTCAGCAAAGATGGAAGGGTTAGACTTWAACAAGCTTTTAGAAAGGAAGTGTCTTTATGGAAGAACGGTTCGTTTTAGACTAAAAGGACAGGACTCCTTCACTGACTGATCCTGGAGAAATGAGACACAGAATGTGAGACGTTAACTCACCAGGTCAGGAGAAAGACCCAGTCCTCTCAGCTCTCTGACACTGTTCTGGGTCGGTTTGGTTTTCTGTTCTCCCGTTGCGCTCGGCTGTCAATAATCAACAAGACACACTCTCTTAAAAACACATTTCTCTCCTCCTCCGTGTAAAAGTGTGGGTGTTTGTAGTCCCACTGAGCGTCTCAGCCAGGTGTGAAGCCTGTCCTACCTGTGGGATCAGACTGACGTGGATGTTGCAGAAGTTCTCCCTCTTCACTTTAAACTGGAACTGCCTGAAGGCCTCGACAAAAGGCATGCTCTCAATGTCTCCCACAGTGCCTCCAAGCTGCACATATTAGAAATCACAGTTCTCACAACGGTCCCATTGGCTCCAAGCTATGTACATTTACAACACTACAAAACGTTTTCATCTATCCTGACTCTGGAATGATGCAAAAACATTCACAGGCTGTTGCTTTTTCTGTTAAATAGGCCTGCAACAACAAACCAATTAAATCAATACAAATCCATTTTAAAAAGTGTTGACAACAAACATCATTATGGGTTTGTGTCGGGTGATTTGTGTGTCCCTCACCATGTGGTGGTGACATCAACTTGACCTGCAGAGTGTAGTTAATAAAGGTGAGGACAGTAATAGAGTATGTTTGTGTTAAGATATACAGGTCCTTCTCAAAAAATTAGCATATTGTGATAAAGTTCATTATTTTCTGTAATGTACTGATAAACATTAAACTTTCATGTATTTTAGATTCATTGCACACCAACTGAAGYAGTTCAAGACTTTTATTGTTGTAATATTGTTGATTTTGGCAAAAGTAAAGAAAAACATTAATCCCTATCTCAAAAAATGAGCATATCATGAAAAGTTTCTCTAAATGACTTATTAAACTAATCATCTGAATCAACAAATTAACTCTAAACACCTGCAAAAGATTCCTGAGGCTTTTAAAAACTCCCAGCCTGGTTCATTACTCAAAACCACAATCATGGGTAAGACCTGACTGCTGTCCAGAAGGCCATCATTGACACCCTCAAGCAAAAGGGTAAGACACAGAAAGACATTTCTGAAC